TTGGACAAATTGGACATTGTCCAAATGTCCAAATGTCCAAATTGTCCAAATGTCCAATATTATGATGTGTCATCTCTAGTTACCTGGATAACTGATTGGTTAATAGATTAATATTTAGGATCCAATTAACTTATCTGGATAACTAAAATATATGAGTGATGCCAAGGGAAAACAGAGATTCAATCATATAAAACATATATAGCTGAAGTCTCATTTTCTTTTGGCACATTCATATGATATCTATATCAGATATATTAATCATACAACAAGGATAATTTTCAAATAGGAAAAATGCAACTAGTTGCAATTACTTAATATGCTAAACAAATGTGAAGATTTCTTGCTTCACCAATAATTATTCCACCAATAGCCTGTTTGGCTAACTTCATATATTAGAGTTTTGTTTGGTGTGATGTCGACTAAATGAGCTGTCAGTGAAATAATAGTTAGTGAAATAAGAGGAACTGCTAATTATAGTATGATTGATATTCTTCTTATAAAACCTGAGCAAATACCCTGAATTAGATTCGACTGTATAAAAAATTAAATGTATAATCATATGCAAATGCAATAAGTAGGCAAAATACTTTTGTAGATATTTTTATAATTTAATAAAAATCCAGGTGATAACAAATTATGTGATTGCGTGTTTTTTTATAGAGGTTATATCCAGATATAACCATTATCCTCCTACTTTGATAGAGTATAAAATTGGTTATTAGATTTATTAAAGGTTTTAACCTTTCAGATAATTACTAAATAGTAAATATTAGAACCACCTAAAATCTTCTAACCATTTGACTGTTAACTGTTTAATTCAGTCGGCACTAATATAATTTTGACTAACATATTTTGGCCAGAAACTATGGAAAAATTTTTATACAGTTCAACATAGGGATGCTAAACCAGTTCAATTTTATTATATAAACTAAACCAGTTCTGGTAATTATATATTTTTGATTTATAATTGATTTTAAACAGTTTAGCATCTCAATTTAAATGATTTTAGTCCTAAAGCTTATAGTTACTTACATGTTATAGAGTTATAATATATTTACTTGTGTGTTAGATAGTTACCTATTAGGTATAGTTACTTATAAACTCAGATAAATACCAATAATGATAAGTAAGAGATAGTCAAATGCTATAGATGAAATTTATATATATATAGCCAATTTTAATTGGTTAATTTTTACTGCGCCTAAAAATTAAAATAACCCAAGAACCAAAATTGCAAGTTTGTATAGCCTTAGTTTAAAGTTTTAATTTTTAATCTCAAGTATGTTGAAGTTAATTTTTCTTTAAAGTTAAACAATTCTTTACTATATTCTTTAAGTTAAATAATTGATATACTTTATATAATAATATATAGTTGATACTGTCTAATTGCATAAAAAATTTTGATTTTTAATTATTAACACAAAAATGATTCTTATGACTTAAATGTATATAAAGAGTGTTAGTAGAAACCAGACAAATTGTTTTCAAGTAAATTTTTTTAGACTTAAATTAAAATATTTTAACAAATATTAAACCAAACTTGATAAAAATTTTTTTATTTTAATGCTATTTAGTTATATAATTAAAATAAAAAAAATTTATTAAGTTTGGTTTAATAGTTGTTGAGATATTTTTAATTTAAAGTTTTAAAAAAACTTAATAAAAACAATTTGCCTGATTTCTATTGACACCCCCCATATATTGTCTATATGTATAAAAAAGTCTCTACGAGATAGTATGCAATTAGACAGTACCAACTGTAATTAGCTAATATAATTCTTTTAAAAGTTTTACTAAATAAAGTTTTTTTTTAGCTTTAAATAAACATCAGGAAATTTTGAATATAGATAAATAGCAATTACTATCAAATATTTGATAACTATCGATAATTCTTATTGATAATTACCAGTATAGATGATTATTAACGATAATTACTATTATCAATTTAAATTATTAATTGTATAGTCAACTCTTATTGATTGTTTTTGATAAATTTTCTATTGATAGTAATCAATTAGGTATCATTTTAAATCGATTAGATAATACCTAATTGATTACTATCAATAGAAAAATTTATTAAAAACAATTTTAAAGTTGGCTATCGAAATCTAATAGTTATTAATTTAAATCGATTACCTAATCGATTACTATCAATAAAAGATTTATTAAGAACAATCGATAAGAGTTGACTATTGAAATTTAACAATTAATGATTTAAACTGATAATGGCAATTATCATTAATAATCACCCATACTGGTAACTATTGATAAAAATTATTGATAGTTATCAAATATTTGATAGTAATCACTACTTATCTATATTCAAAATTTCCTGATGAAGTTGTAAAGAGATTTCTTGATTCTAATAGTGGTTAAATTATTAAAATTGGCTTGGTAAATTTCAAAATACTTGAAATTAAAGAAAACATAAAATTTTTTTTTTAATAATGTTTTTTTATATCTTTATTTAGCATTTATATAGGCAATTGTAACAAGAATCCAATTTGTATATAATAAATTATATTCAAGAATAGAGCTTAAACTAGTTTTTATTTAAATTCTATGTACAGTGGAATTCAAATAAAAAAAAAAAAAATCCATCAAATTTGGTTTGGTGGTTAAGATGCCTTCAATCAAATTTAAGGAAAATTTTTCAAAATATTAGCTCGGCAAAATTTTCTTGACTTTGATCGAAGATATCTCGACGCCTATACAATCAAATTCGATGAAATTTTTTTATTTGAATTCTACAGTTCCAGAGAATTCATATAGAAAAATTTCATCGAATTTGGTTGTGTGGGGTGGGTGCCGAGTTACTTTCAATCGTGGGTGTGGATCCTAAATTAACCAATCAGATTTAATATACACTAATATAATATACTGTATATATACAATATATATGTAGTATATAACTCTAGAGTGTCATTTTTATAGCAAAGACCCTACAGTATTTATATTATTATTTAACTTACATACAGTACATGTAAGTTACATGCTTATAACTTGCATTAAAAAATTACAAATTGCTGTAAATTTACAACCCTATTCGTACGTTGCGATTATACTGTCGATATCCATGATCCGTATTCATACCAGATAAAGTCAAGCTTTACTATGAGATGTGACGTGATTTGAATGCCAATATTCTTTTGATTCATCTCATCGAGACGAATCGTATAAAAGTCATTCAATTTGGATCAATGAATCATGAGTTATAATAGGTTTTCTACTTCGCATAGTGCCTACACTTATGATTAATGAACCAGCCCAATTACAAAATTAGAGACTGAAGCTGGACCAGATAAATATATCCCTACTTTTTAATATGCAAAAAGGGCACCATATAGCTAGTGTTAAAAAATTTGGTTGGATTGAGTTGGATTGGGTTGAATCAATCTTCAACACACATCATTAGATTAGACATTTTAAACCCACTCCAGCTTGGGTTGGGTTGCACACCTGGGTAAGCTACCCCATTCAATGTTGACCGATGGCCTTAAATAACTTATCTTATGACCTATCATAGGTCATTTGGTTATAAAATGTTGATATGACTTTATGACCTACTGTATATTATATATGACCAATATGACTTATGACCAGAATGTTATCGTGACTTCCAAATTCATACTTATCTCCAATAACAACACGATCTACGCAAGAGAAAGTGGATTCACGTGATCTACTTGCAAAAGTTACACGATTTGATTTTTGAATTTTTGAACTAATTCTGTAAAATATAAATACTTAAATTTCACTAAACAATAATTGTTCGTTAGCTTTTCACAGATAAAATAAAGCATGAATTTTACTAAACACAATCAAGCTGTTTTAGATTTAGATTCACCCGACTCAGCTGTTCGTGTAAAAGCTTTACGCTTTATAAAAAATAATATCATCGGAAATAAAACGAAAAAAGATCTTTACATCGGACTTAACGTTATTCCAAAGTACGCCTTATTATCTACTAGAATTATTTTTGTGGAATATTTATAATACTTAACAATTTGTACCTGCGATGTCTTTTGTTATGCTCAGACTTGTCACTTTTTTCATAGAAAATGAAGGTGTTGACCCTGAGGTTCAAATCCAGGCAGCGATCGTCTTGGGCAGCTTTGCTTATGGTTCGGCTTGTTTTTTTTTATTAAATTCTTGAATGGATGTAAGAATGGTGAAAGAAATTAAAGGATCTTCTTTTATTTTATAAAAGGCGGGGAAGAGAATGTGACCGAGATAGTAAAACATGAGGCTGTCAAACCTTTATTAGAATGTATATCGTCAAAAAATGATCCCAGGTTGATCGAAGCTGCTGCTCGTGCTCTAAAAGCTATTTATAAATGCCCAACTGCAGATAAGAATGACATATTTCAAGTAAGACTTATTGATGGCTAATTTATTATTGATTCTTTACTATTAATATTTATATCTATATTATTAATTATTTTATAGGGCTATCATCTCCAAAACCTTATCACTCTTCTTGATCCTGATGCGCTTAATCCGAAGACGGATCGCGAAAAAATCGCGTCGGTACATACTGCTGAATTGGCTGCGACTATAATTGCACGTTGTTGTGATACCAACGAACAGCAGATCCAGATTGCACAAGCGGGTGCCTTTCCTAAATTGGTCAATTTGTTAACTTGCGGGTTTTCTAAAGCCCAGGAAGCTGCTTTGGATGCGCTTGCGTATCTGTGTCGAGAAAACTCTGATTTTGGCAAGGAAATCGTTAAGACAAAATGTATGCATGAATAAATTGATATATAATGCGTTGATTAAAAGTTATAACATGTTTTTTTTTTCTTTAATAGCTGAAACAAATGAGAGTCCGGTCAAAATCATGTTAAATTTAATCCGTGATAAATCACCGACAATGCGACTAATATCAGCTAAATGGTACACAATAATTTCAACGCTTTTATATCATTATATTATAAAGTTTTACATAATTTAAATCCAGCGATTATAATTTCATTTTGAAGCTTGACGCATTTGTGTCGTGCGAAAGCGATTGACGAATACTTAAATGACATTACGTTAGCCGTATTGCCAACGTTAGTTAAATTACTTGACGAGAAAGGTCCTGTCCGTGAAGAAGCTCCGCATGTTTTAGGTATTTCGTCTTTTAGATCTATATATGCAACATTTCATCTCTCATGATGTTCATTTTTCTATTGTTATTATTAGCATACTTGATTCGTGATAACGAAGAATTACAAAAGGCCGCTTGTGATTCAGAAGCCGTACCAAAATTAGCTGAATTTGTTACTCATATTAGTGATCAAAATAGTTCATATTATGATCCTCTAGGTGACGGTGATAAATTGAAGGAGGTATATATCGGTTTAAGTTAGGAAATTATTTTGTGTATTAAATTAATTTAAAATTAACATTAAAAATTAGAATGCCCTAATGGCTCTTGCAGCTATAAGTTCTTTAACTGATGAAGGTCGAAAGCTGGTAAGATATTGTTCGATACTGATTGTAATCAAAATTACCAAGTATCAACTTGATTATATTTTCTTTTATTATTATAAAGGTTGTTGATGCCAAAATAATCCCTCATATTGTTGCAGCAATGTCGCATCGTTCTTACGGAGTTCGTGCTGCTGCATGTCAATGTACCCGAAGTCTCTCAAGATCTGTTCATATATTACGTACCAACCTTGTAGATGCAGGAATCGCAACGCCTTTATTTAAAGTAAAGTTTATTACAATACTGCAATCAATAATGGGTATATTTTATAAAATTTGATAACTGAAAGTTACTTGTAAAATATAGTTATTATCTGACGAGTCAACAGACGTACAAACAATGGCGTGTGCTACACTTTGTAATATAGTACTAGAGTTTTCACCTATGAGAAAGGTATTTAACAAACGTGCTTTTATCGTTTTTGCTTGACTTATTATATCGTATAATATTGAATACAATTATTTCCAATATAATAGCAAATTATGGAACAGGGAGGAATAGAAAAGTTAGTTAAATTAGTACATTCTCCTGATAATACACTAAGGCTTAATGCTATATGGGCATTGAAGAATTTAGTTTATCATGCAGAGTCTGAAGTCAAATATAGAGTTATGGAAGTGTTGACATACTTAACTATGGAAAAGTATGTAGAATTATAGATAAATTATAATAAGAATTTAATTCAACTGATTCATATATGTTTCACAGATTGATTGAAGATCCTGAACTTGACGTGCAGGAAAAAGCGCTGAATTTATTGAGAAATCTAGCTTGTCCAAAACCAGAAGTATGAATTTCTTAAATTCTAAATATTGTTTAATTATAAATAATAATGTGTTGATGATATTTTTATTTAGGACATTGAAGAAGTATTTAAAGGATTAACCGAAAGTCGATTGATGAACATCATAGAAAGTAAACTTTGTTCTTGGAGTGATGAAATAATTAAACAGGTAATTTAATTATTCAAATTTGAAATAAAAAATTACATGGCGCATTAAAATATTTTCATTCTCTTTAAAAGATCCTATTTGTCATCAACAATATTGCAACTGGTAATGAACACCATAAAAAAACTATTATGTCAAGGACTAATATTTTGTCGCACATTAAGAACTATATGGGTCACCAAAATCCTGATATCCGTGTTGCTGCAGTGTGGTGTCTTATAAATTTGACATGGATGGAAGATAAACACAGTAGTAAGACATTCCTTTTTATTAAGTGATGCGATGTCATCTGTTTATTGATTTGATTATCTTCGGAATAGGTTCTCAATCGCGCGTTCGAGAGTTACGTCAGCTCGGTTTTGAAGATATAGTGAAAGATATGGCAAACGATGAAAATTTAGATGTTCGTGAAAAAGTGAAGATGGCTTTAGTACAATTTTCTCAAGTATGATTGACAAGAATTTTGTAAGCCACTTCATTTTACTTTTCATGTGTATTGTTCGAAACTTGCGGGCAAGACAACTAGTGACGTAATCATCTGTATAAGAAAAAAAGTTTTGTGCGATAAGATTGAGAGAATCATCCATCATCCGGTATTCATGTAATGTATATTTTATTATTTTAACGTTATATCAAGCATTATTTGCATTCTTGCTTATTTCGATAATACCTAAACACTGAGATTACTTGGATTTTGATCACTATTCTACAGTATATAGTAGCATCTGACGTATTTTTCTCGAGGCAAAATTTTAATAGATAATAAAAATAATGATTAACGTATTTATAATGTAGCGATAAATAAAGTCATGTGGATTTTTAATAACCAAATATAAAAAATGGCATAAAAAAAATTTTTGTTGTCTCGTGGCGGATTCGAACCGCCGACCGTCTGTGTGTTAGACAGACGTGATAACCAACTACACCAACGAGATTACTTTAAGTATTTCTCATTAATTTTTTAAATGATTAGATGATTAGTCATTGTGTAAATGTTAGTTAACAGATAGCCACTTTAATACTTTAATAATACTTTGATACGTACACACACAAAAGTTACTTTTTATATATAGTTATATTGTTCAATGTTATATAATTGTATTTACGTAATAAAATTTTTGAATCATTATTAATGATAAATTATTAATTTCCACTATTCATTAGAAATTCACATGCACATAATAATTAATTTTAAAGTAATATTGTAAGCCATATCAATCCATTACTTCAAACAACGCACTAACACTTTCACCATTGTGTGTTCTTCTAATAGCTTCAGCAAACAAAGGAGCGACATTGAACACACTCATTTTATAACACTGAGCCAAATGTTCATCTTGTGGTACACTGTCACCCACAAAAATTTGATCGATATTGCTTTCTTGAATTCGTTGAATGGCATCGCCGCTCATGATTGCATGTGTAATAATTGCATAAATTTTTTTAGCACCATTTTCATAAAGAATCTTGGCAGCCTTGGTAATTGTATAAGAAGTATCTGCAATGTCATCTACGAGAACACAGATTTTATTGTTAACATCACCAACAAGCATCATATCAGCCTTATGAGGTTTATTTTGAGATCGACGTTCTTTATGAATAAGAGCAAATTCCATTCGAAGTCTCTCTGCGATTGCTGTAGCTCTAAATAATATAACATAAATTATTTAGATGATAATTCATATAATATTCATAGTATAGAATGCTTTCAAAAAGTACCATAAAATTTTAAGAACTTTCATAACCCTATTTTTTTTTATCTTACCTTTTGGCACCACCAGCATCTGGAGAAACAATTACAGCCTCTTCCCAACTTGGAATATTTTCTTTTATACATTTGATCATTAAAGGCTGTCCGTAAAGATTATCTACGGGAATGTCAAAAAAACCTTGGAATTGAGGATCGTGAAGATCCATTGTCATTATATGGTCAGCACCTAGAAAAATTGTCATGTAATGGTTCAGCGTTAAGAAAAAATATATTGCTTGCGATAATTCACGGAAATGAGATATAATAACCTGCACACATTAGAAGATTGGCAATTAACGTCCCTGAACGAGCAATCCAATGTTTATAACCCCCAACGCTACGAAATGTGGCGTAATTTGTAACTGAATTTGTAACTGAATTTATACTGCAATTTGCAACAGAATTTTGTTCTTCGGGCTTATCTAACGGATCTATTATTTCTGAACTAGGAGTTACTGTTGTAGAACTATAAGGTGTACCAAAGTTATAACCCCTAAAGGCATCCCTAGGAAGCCGTGATAAAGGTGTACCGTCTTTTTTAAAAGGTGCGTCAGGTTGTCTTGCATATGGAAAACAAGGTATTACAGCAGTAACTTTTGCGGCTGATGCAATTTTGCACGCTGAAATCATGATTAGAAGCTCCATGAAATTATCATTGACGTGACCACAACCCGATTGGACAATGTAAACATCTTGTTCTCTAACACTTTCACGGATTTCTACGTTGGTCTCTTTATTAGAAAATTTTGTAAGAATTACGTTCCCAAGTGGTAACCCCAAGCGTGAAGCAATTTGGCCCGCTAAGTCTGGGTGTGAAGAACCTCCGAAAATAACAATGTTGTGCATCAAGACGTAAATGCAGAAATGTAAAAAGTTCAAAGATATGCTTCAATTGATTCGATGATCATTCCACCGTTGAAGATCGTTACACAGTTACGTAGAGTTTATTGTAGTTTATTGCCTGGAGCGTAGCGGAGGACTTAATGGTGAAGTCATTTCAAATTAGGTACTTTTTTGGGAACGTAACGTTTCACTATCAAAAAAAATCGCGTGAAAGCAAATTCTACAAACGTAGATATTCAATGTTAAAATTAATCCAAAATAATCCACCTCTTCAAGAACTTCACTTAGGGGCGAATATACTAGTTATATTAACTATATGCAAGTTTTACATGTACTTGGAGCTTTGAACGTACTGTTTAATATGATATATATTATAATAATAATAGGCTTGTACTAATGTTTACAGTATATTTTACGTTTATAGAGTTATACTACTAGAGTAATAAATGTAATAAGTGTTATAAAGTGTTATTGTTTTATGGGGTCTTTGACTTGAAAATCACGTTATGGGACATAGTAAATCATATGTTCCATAACGTTATTTTCAAGGCAAAAACCCCTTATTAATTATATGGGCTGAGGGTTATGTCGCGTTTTTAATAAAGGTCGTGATAACTAAAAATAGATAGAATTACTTTTCAAAATATATAGTAGAATAAAAAATAGCTTTGTTAATAATTTATTCACTTTTAATCGATTTGAGCTTGGGTTTATTAGTAATAAATATTAATTTACGCGTTATCTATTTTTAAAATGTAATAAATTCTTTTTTGCGTGCATTGAAGTTCTTTTCGTTTTCTAATAGTACTAATCTTTTTAAAATTATGCATTTTTGATTGCTAATTATTACGAGAATTCACGGGTAGATCTACAAAAATTAAAAATTAACCAATCTTATCGTTATTAAATTGATGTCATAGTATATCAACATTTTCTCATCGTTTTTTTTTCTCCGCCTGTTACCTTATTCATTGTACTGCCCACTTCCACATAGGTTTGGAAAAGTTAGGTTGTTTCGGTGATTTCGGTCTGACCGGGTGAATTACTGATCAGTCGTTCGCGCTTTTCAGCATCGTGTTTTCTCGCGTCTACGAAGTTGAAATTACAGCTATATAGCTGATAGGTACTTCTTTTTATTTCTGTTTTATATATTATGTTTAATATTGTATCTTGTTTTTATTTCATTTATTTATAGTGATACGATAATCCGGTTATCGTTAAAACAGGGCTTTTACTTGTTGGTTCTTAGAGCAAAGAACCAGCCTACTCCTGAAAAACCGATGTACTTAGATTACATAAAATTGCCATAGCGAGCAATATTAGCAGGTTTATAAGTTGATAGATTGTCTTGTTCCTGGGGGTAGAGACCGGACTCGAGTCAAGTCGTAGCTTAAAAAACATAGTCTTAACTCGAGTCAAGACTATGTTTTTTAAGCTACGACTTGACTCGAGTCTAGTCCAATGTTTAAATTTTGATTTTGTTTCAATGTGCGGAAAGCTTGATAATTTCTGTAAACATAATAAAAATTCAAAAAAAAGACGCGTGAACTTTATGACACAACAAAATCCGCAGATTCAAAGGAAAATTTACTTGAATCTGCGCACCGCAGATTCCGCATATAGATTTTAAACACTGGTCCAGTCTCTACCTGGGGGAACTAGTTCATAGACGGCCCTTTTTTGTTCATTGTTTTCAAAAAAGGGAAGTTACAGTATGAACTAATATAAACAACGTCGTGACAAAACGATCCATAAAAGTGTGAGCAAAATGGTCAAACTGTAACGGCTATCTGTTATTACCATTGATTCGCTATCAGGCACGAATCACTTTACCAATGACTTGGTACACCATCGGCATCGTATTTTATCATTTCGAGATCTTTTTAAAAGGTCGGAAAATCTTCAAATTAAACTAAAAATGTATATTTGGCACCTGAAGTTTTGGCGTGTAAACCATATACTCAAGCATCAGGTATTTACAGTCTTGACTAAGATTTTAACCAGACAAAATAAATGAATTGAAAAATATCGAATACACTCTTGTTTTATTATACACTTTCTTTGTAGATTTAGTTTCTTTTTAAATTCACTCTTTTGGGTCACATGATAAAACCTCATGATGTGGCCTGGACGTTGAACAATTTGGTTTAAGAATTGTATTAATGTATCAGTAATAATTAATAAAGATGAAAGTTATACTTTTATTTAGTTTGGCAAAAAAAATTATAGTTATAAAATTATCATTCAAATAAGTTTATAATTGTTTAAGGATTTTTTTGAATAAGTCGACATTATCACGTTATAGATAGATAATTGAACATGTGACTTTATTCGAGATGACACGAAGCAAACTGCTCTGATACTTCTACAGTATACTGTATTAGGCAACATCTAAATCCATATTTTCAATTTTCTTTTATAAAAGTCATCATTATGTTATATTGTTAAACTATAATTCATAACTAATTATCGATTACATTGATTGATACAATTTTATTTTTGATATAAATTAACTGGTTAGGTATAATTTGCTCTAGATTAGTATTAGATACCAAAATCATGGTTCCCAGTTTGGTTGGCGAGCCGAACCTTTACCAATTATATTCAATTTTATAGTATTATCTCTAGTAATAGACTAAACTTGTGCATGTTTCTTTGTCTAGAAATTTGCAAATTTTAGTATACTATAAAATCGAAATACAATATAGAGCAAAGTTATTATGAATTTCACGGTCATCATGATTCTATTGTTTTATTTACATAATTAGCTTCTTTTTTTTTGATAAATTATGTACGTATTACGTACAGTTATTACAACTATTTTTTACACTTGTAAAACTGTTTACATCGTTCCTGTAAGAATGCCAACATTCTGCTTTCTTTGACAAGTATACGACCGATTTTTATCATGACACATGAAAAAATTCTGTAATCATTCATCCATAATAATAATAAAATTTAAGCCAATCGAGTTTTTAAACTATAAAATTACTGTACCCTGGTAAATTCAATATTAAGTACATTTTCGAATTCTACGACCAGTAGAATTCGAAATCTTCTCTAACTATCAAAGTTGTGTCATACCTAAAATACAGTGCAACCCGAAAATGTGTACCAGGTTGCGCTCCGGATGATCATGTGATAGTCCGGAATGATAGTCCGGAATGAATGT